TCTACATATCTATCCCAATGTAACTATCTATTTATCTATCCATCCATCAATTTCACCCTTTTTATCTATCTATTTATATATCTATCCCAATATAGCTATCTATCTATTTATCCATCCATCCATTTCCCCCTTTTTTATCTATCTATCTGTATATCTTTCCCAATGTAACTATCTATTTATCTATCCATCCATCCATCAATTTCACCCTTTATTTATTTATCTATCACATAGATTTAGCCTATTTTTAAAAAGTCTCATCAATTTTTATAAGGCAGGGTCATCCTTCAAGTGTCGCAACGTCTTGGCTTTTATTTAATTTACTGTTCTAACTGACCTATGTTTTTATGCAGCTCTTTACATATAAAGCACTTGTTGTTAGCTTTGACTTTAAAGAAGTAATTGGCAAAATTTTCATAGATTTTAGCATGAGACCTTTAAATCACAGTGCTATCTATCTAACCATATATCCATCTATCTATCTATCTATCTATCTATCTATCTATCTAACAGGACAGGAATTTGCTCTACCCGATAAGAAATTATCCATGTTTTATATTTAATCTCCTAGTGTACTGTTACTGTTGTGAACAAAATATCAAAAGATAATTGTAATATTACAAATTTTGTTTTAATAATTGATAAATACATTTTGATATTTTATTGAAATATATTTATATTTCAGCAAGTCATCGCTTGGCTTAATACAGCCTCAAAATAACAGTTTCTAAAAGCAAAACAGGTTTATCTACAGCAGCAGTACTTTTGCATCCTGGATAGATAGTTGGATAGTAACAGTTTCTAAAAGCAAAACAGGTTTATCTACAGCAGCAGTACTTTTGCATCCGGACCAACATAACTTTTCCTTTCCATTCAGACCCTTATTAACCCCTTTAGAATAAGAAAATGGCTTTAACGATTCACAACGGTACCCTTCTTAGATTAGACATAATTTAAGAACCAATGTTTGATATATCTTTTTTCATTTACTTCTAAACATGAGTCATGACAGTGACACACGGGGGGTTTAAAGAGTCTCGCGCAATTTACCAGTACAGACAAGCAAGAAATTGAACAAAATTTGTCTAAATTAAAAATAATTCAATTTCTGCTCAAAATCAATAATAGGTAACTATGCATTGTATTACGCTCATGGTAACTCTTAAATCAATCTTGATATAATATTACTTCCTTGTTTATTCTCCCCCCCC